ATTAATTCCAACATCTTGGACCCCTGAAGACCCAAAACAAAGAGGTTCATGCCCACCACACACCTCTCCATCGTCTTGGACCTTTTGAGTTTGAGATATCTACGTGACATCCAGTTTGAGATGTCTAATAGATAGTCAGTAACATGAGATGATGTCAAGAGAGTGGTTAGGGCCAGATAAATAAATCTGAGATTCATCCACATAGAGATGATAATGAAAGCCAAGGGAACTAGTGAGATCATGAAGTGAAGTAATAGAGGAAGAAGAGGGCCCAGGATGGAGCCCTGGGGCACTGGGTTAATTGGTAGGACCTTGAGAAAGATCCAGCAAAGGAAAATGAGAAGGATCAGTCATACAGGTACGAAGAGAACCAGGAAAGAGCAGTGTTATGAAAACCTAGAAAGGAGCAGGTATCCAAAAGAGAATAGCATCAAAAGCTGCTGCAGAGAGATCAAGTAGAATGAAGATTAAGAAAAGGCCATTAAATTTGACAATTAAAAAATCATTGGTAACTCTGGAGAGAGGAGTTTCAGTGTAATTTCAGAGTAGTTCAGAGTAATCTCAGAAGCCAGACTGCAAAGGGTTTAGGAAAAGAGAAAAGGCACTAATTATTGATAGTTTATTCAAGGAAATTAGCCGCAAAAGGAGGAAAGACATAGGATGATAGCTAGTAGGCTCTTAATAACAGCTTGCTGATTCTGATTTTGATAGATTGATACACTCGGGTTTTCCCACGTGAATAAATAAGACTCTTGAATCGCAGATCTCACTTAGGAAGCTCTACAACTTTCTGGAATTTAATGAAATTACCACATTGGCCTTTGCAAATAGGAACATCTGAGATAGCGATGTTCAAACTTAGGAACTCTATTGTCCTTGATAAAAGAAATTGTTGTTTTTTTGATCTCTGGAGATCTTTTCCATTTTTCGTCTGTTTGTTGATCTTCCTTAAATGTCCTTGAAATGACTTTGCTGAGTTGGCTTGCTTGTCAAGCTTTCTTTAAACTTGCTTTTCCTTCTGCTGCTTCTCTCCTTTACGAGGCAATACAACTCCTAATGTTCATGTAAGACTGCACAAGTGAATATATATATTCTTAACCACATTGCTTTGACCACCATGTGTCTATGTTGTCAAGGAGATAAAATAGTTACTGAGTGTGGACATTTCTAAACTGTTTTGGTCCCATTTTGTGGCAATTTATTTACATTGGTTAAAATTTTGCAAAAAAATTGTTATAATCTGTTTCAAGGCTCTTTTCTCCATTCATTTCCCATTTTTTGGCATTAGTAACTTGTTTAAATAGGTCAGATTGGAATTGTTTTACTCACATGTCATATCTCATCATTTTTTATTCTTTTAATTTTGTATTTATTTTAATCTTTGACCTAACAAATTAGTGGTCTGACCATACACAGACAGCTCATTTAGTAAATGATGTAGATACAGCATACAGCACATGGTATCCCAGGGGTTAAAGTGAATATTAAGCACTGCTTTTCCAGTACTTTGTGAGGCCCCTCCTGAGTGGGGGCTCATTCTGTAACTTGAGAGCATCTAAAGTCTTTTTCCCCTTATCTTGAAATACCATAAAATTCTTCCTTATCTAGTACCATAAAATTCCTCCTGTCTTCCTTATCCTGTACCTCCTTATCTTGAACCACCATAAAACAACATCCTCATCTGGAACATCTATAGGCTGTATGATTTTCTGCCAAATTTTGCTATATAAGCCTAGCTCCCCCAAATACCAGTTGCCTTAATTAGCCTTGTTGCTACAGGTCTGTGTGCTTATACTTTTAATGAAGCTTCTGCTGGCTAAAGAGAACATCTAAGTGAATTCTTTCACTCCCGAACAACTCTCCCAAATCTGACCTCAACAGTAATAATGACATCTACGGCAATAATGAATCATTTCCAATCTTGAAACTTAATCAGTTTTCTGCTGTATTAATTGTAATTTCCATATCTAGCACTTTCTTTTTTCCAAGATGGTTTTCTGGGTCTATAGATATGTCTTTGTTGTCATCTATTCCAACTTTTTGGCCTTTCTCATTCCTTAATACTGAACCATATCAACAGCTATTTGTTTTGGGTTTTTTGGGAGAAGCGTTGACTATCTTCCCCTGTGTTGACCTTTCATTGAATTCACCTATTTTCAAGCCTTTGCTAATTTAATTTGGAGGGTTTTTATCAAGTTCTTCCTAGAATTTCTTTCTCTCCTTCTCTGCAGCCCATGTTGGCATATAAGCTGCAATTATTTTCACAAAAGTCTTTTTTGCATATACTTTTTATAGGCACTGCAATATAAGATGACCAAAAGTCCCATTTTAATATGTTTCTCCTTGCCTTTACACACACAGTAAAGCTAACTCCACCAATTTTTTATTCACTTTTCCAAAGAGAACCTGTGAGCCATACTTTTTTAGCATCCCTTCCCTTCGTCTTCAGGTTTCAATGACAATGAGAATATCAAGACTGAGAATTCAATTCCTCCTGTAATATTTCCACTTGTTGGTCAATGGACAAGTAGCTTACTTGTACCAACAGATAAGTTAATGCTTGCAGATGGTCATAAAACTATCTTGGCACCTTCTTTTCTCCTACACTGCCATGTCAAAAGGTCCTCACAGGACTGTGGGCAATCATTTTTTATTTTTCTTTGTTTTGTGGGTTCCCATAGCCAAAAAGTTCATGAGTCTCGCCATACTTAGTTAAGCTAGTCCTCAGAAAGTAGGCATGGTCTGTTGCCAGAACCATTCTCAAAATCTATACACCATGGTAGAAACTTCCAGAGCTTACTCTCTACTGGCATAGCCTTCAAAAATTTAGAATCGTCTCAAAACTATAATGAAACATGGGAGTAGGACCTTGTAGAGGAAACACTGGAAACCATTTTTCTAGCCACTTGACAGTACCATCATCTAGCCTGTATTTCTCCCTTTCATCTATAAAGACGTGAAAGGCTTTATCAGACATCTTCCTGAAGCACGTATGCTACATCAATGGTATTCCTCTGATCAAGTCAAATAATTTAATTGGAAAAGAAAATGGTTAATCTGTCGTGACCCATTCTTGAAGAAGCTACTCTGGACTTTAGCAATAATCCCTTTCTAAATGCTCACAAATCATGTCTTTGATGATGCATTCTAGAGCTTTGCCAGGAACTAAAATCAAGATCTTTGGACACTAGACAGAATATTTTTTTCATTATTTGGTACATCTGTTACTTTCTAGTCCCACGGCACCTCTCCCTTTCTCCAGAATTTTTTCAAAGTTTACAAATAGTGACTCAGCAGTCTTACAGCAGATCTTTCATCACCCTATTAGCACTCATAGAATCACAGAATTCTAGATTTGAAAAGAACCTCTGCAGCCAACTCATTTGACTCATGCCTCTAACAGCTACACATTGTGTGATGAGGGGCCAGTCATTCAACCTCTAATCCACAACATGGGGCTGACACCCATATTTCACAAAATTGTTGTAAGGCCTAAATGAGGGAAAATGTATCAAGCTGGCTTTCCAAAACTTCGAGTCGATTCATCTAAGCCTGGTACCTGAGACTCATGAAGGGTGACTAGGTGCTTTCTCACCATCTCTTCCCTTACCTTGGGTTTTAATGTCCCTCCTTGTTAACCATTGTTCTATCCTTCCCAATCCAAAGATCATTCTTTTTTGGTAGGGAAAAGAGAAAGTTGAATTGAATACTTCTACCTTCTCCCCCTGAACAATCATTGTAATTCCATCAATCCAGGACCAGGGTCCTTATTATTTTTTTCATCATGGAAGCTCTTACCCCTAACCTAGCTAGAAAACAAATGAAATTTTTAAAAATCCTGTTCATTGTCTTAAGCTTTCATCACTGTCTCTACTTATTCTAAATGTAAACATTCCTGACACTCTTCTCATGCCACCATCCTGCTTTGTTCCTTAGTTCTATAGTTCTCCTTACTCCCATCTCCCATACAAATCTTTTAAAAAGCTAAGGAGTCAGTCAGTTTCTTGTGTGTCTGCATTGGTCTGCTTAAATCACTTCCCTTTCTCTTCCTCATCACAATCTTTTATGTTATCTGAATTTCATTCTTGAGGGCATCCTAACTCTTTCGGGCTGACTTGTAGAATTTTAGGCTGCAGGATCATCCCTATCCTTTCTTGGAATTCCTGGAAATCCACTATCCCAAAATCTAAGATGGGCCTCAGACTAGGACTGGCTTTATCTTCTGTATAAATAGCATACTTTAAGGAGTGCTCATATTCCCCCCCCCAAAGTTCCCCATCACTTCTACTTCAGAAGCTCCTAAACCATTAGAGTCAGGTTCAGAACTGCAATTTGCCTCATAGTTTCCTTTACTGGATCTTCCTCTAGGTCACAGCACTATGCAGGAAGGCCTTCCTCACCTGACCCCTAAAGCGGGGCTCTTGGCCCTCTTCTCCCACTGTACTGTCTCCATGTTTTCCAACTCAGAGGGGCAGGAGGAAAAAAAAAGTGGAGAAACCTAGGGGGTTAAAGTCAGTGGACTTTCATTGATCTTTCTAAAACTTTCCTATTTTAGCTTTATCTGTGCTTCCTCCAAATTGAATTCTCTGCTTTTCAGGTTGAGGGAACACCCTGCTCTAACACTTCCTTCTGCCATAGTAGAGTCTAATCTCTCAGCCTTCCCTGTTCCCACAGGCCTCTCCTGTCAGACCCAATGAACTGAGACACAGAAATGTGTCCTTAGCGTTTACTTGCTCCTGACCCTCTTCCCCTCACCCCAAGTCACCCTGAAACCTCCTCTTCTCCCCACTACCAGGCTAACCCAAACCCCTTCTTTCCTCAGATTTCCTTGTCTCCTTTCTTTTTCCCTTAGGCCTTCCTGATTTCCCCCTCCCCTCAGACTTCCTTAACTCACCATTCCTTTCTCTCCTCCCAGACCTCCCTCCTCCCCTTCCCTCTCAGGTCCTCCAGACACCACAGCTCTGAAGCTTCCCCTTACTTTCCCTTCTACCCCCTCCCAGGCCTCCTTGAACACCTCAAATCACAAACTGGATGAAGAACTGTGCCAGACACTCACTCAACGTTATGTGACTGTCATGAATCGGCTGCAGAGCCTGGGCTACAATGGGCGGGGTCCACCCAGGGCTGACGGAGCAATTGGTTAATGCCTATGGCATCCTGAGGGAACGGCCTGAGCTGGCAGCCTCTGAAGGTGGCTCTTACACCATGGACTTCCTCCAGCGGGTGATCATAGAGACGGTGCCCCAAAGCGTACTCACTGATGCCCTCCTTCTTCTCTCCTGCCTCAACCAACTCTCCCACGATGATGGCAAACCTATGTTCATCTGGTGACTGAAATCTGCCGAACATCAAGTGCTGGCACCAGCCCCCCCCTAACGCTGATGAACTGCCTATTGGGCCCTGGGCATGGCCATGTTACCATGGGCAAGGTCCTCCCCACCCCCAGGCTCCCCCACCCACCAAGCAAATCTTGGTATTAAAGCTATTAATTGCTAGTTGAGGACTCAGTATTCCTGGATTTTTGGTACCCAGTTCTCATCAGAGGTAGGTAAAGAGGGCACTGCTAGAGTTACCATCCAATCTCTATCTCTCACCACCCTCTCAGGGTTTGACAATGGGATTGACTTCAGTGTCTAAAAGGTACTTTTCCTGAAGTTGCCTTTTGTACCATTTTAGGCCTAGCTTAAACCCCAAGAAGCTCCAGGCTTGGGGGATTTTTGACAGCATGGGGAAGACAGGAAATTTTTGTGTGCCTTTGGATGAGTCAGCAGGGTATTTACTTCTTCAGCCAATTGATAAAACAATCCATCTATCCCCTTCTCCCCTCCACCTTTCTCCTGCTCATAGTCCATGTCATCTTCCACAGCTCTCTAAGAATAAATGATTGCCCCCTACTTTAGTCACTCCCGTGACCCACATTTCTATGTGATGGAGGGAGACCTTAGAGCTGAGAATTAGATTAGTCCCCCCTTCCTCCCATCTTCTTCAAACTAGAACAGAACCTAAGAAAGCTTGAAAAAAGAATCAGGACCCAAATTGGCTTCTTCAAAGATTCTGCCCTTTGGGGAATTCATCAAGACATAGTCACGAGTGAAAGTTTCCAAATAACACTATTGTCTAGATAGTCCTTAAAGCCTCTTTCACTTCTGGCCTTATGACCCTCTAGGATTTATCAGCCATGAGACCTCTGAAAAGTGACTCAACTGCTCTCTCATTTTTCTGTTTTTCCCATGCCATCCAAACATTAATCCCACAAAACTACATCAGCTAAACAGTCCTAGGCCAAAGAACTGACTTTCCCTCCCACCCTTGCTTGAAGTAAGTGGTGAGTGGTTAGTTCAATTTAGAGGCATTAAGTCCTCTTGGGGCTTTGGTCTTCTCTGGGAAAACTTTCACTTTCTCTCTTTTCTTTCTTTTCTCTGTCTGTCTCTGTCTCTCTCTCTTTTTTCCTCTTTTCTTCATAGGAAGTCACATAGGATGAACAGTAACATGTAATAAAAATGAGCCAGGTGTGGGAAGAACAGATTAGAGTTCCAGCTTCGAACATCACTAACTATGATTTGGAGGAAAGTCAACTTTTTCTAAACCTTAATTTCCTTATCTGTGAAATGAGAAAAATAATCCTTGTAACACCCATTTCACCAAGTAGAAAAACCTACTCTGTTATAAAAGTGTGAGATATTTCTATTGCTTAGTAAATCAGTGAGCTGAAGAACTAAACTGGAAAGGTTGATTTCCTAACCTGGAGAAGGCATCTGAGACTTCTGGATTGACAGGTTCTGTATTACACTTTGAACTCTTTGGAAGCAGAGAATGATGAGTGATCCAATGTCCTTCTAAAGTCTTGAGAGCAGGGATGTAGTATCACTTGAGGGGAAGGGGAAGATAGACTCACTCCCACTGGGTTTTAGATTTCAGCTTGAAGAATATTCTGGATTTGGGCTAGAATGGAATTAAGCAGTGGAACCATGCAGGCCTCACGTGAGCCTCACTGAATCACAGTGGCCTGGACCTCTTATTTTAAGACAGATTAGTTAATTGGAAGGGATGTGATAGAAATATTTTGTAAACACTTTCAGTCACCTTTTGCTTAAAATTTTGAGTTGATTTTTTTCCCCCTCAATAAAAATCCTTACTGAAACCAAGGTGGCTCGTGAGCTATGGTGGGCTACAAGGAATTGTAGACATCACTGATGACTGCACTGTGATACTGCAACCCCTGAATGGTAAAGAGTGAGCTCCTTCAGCAGACCCCCTAGTTAGAAAGCAGGCCTGGGCACGTAAGTGGCTAAAGCAAATAGAGCAGGTCCTTTTCTGCAGGCTTGTACCAGAATCTTTCATAGTAATACATTACAATATACTGACCAGGTAGTAAAAGGGCCTTTACCTGGATTCTGGAGTTAGGAATAAAGAGGGGGACAGAAGAAAAAGATATTCTAGAGTTCAAATAAATAAGGCTTAGAAACAATGAATGTGTGAAGTTAGGGAAAGGGAGGATTCCCAGATAATACCACTAAGGTTTCAACCTGGATATAAAGGTACTGAGCAACAGAAAGTCAGGGGGAGTTTGGTTTTATACCTGTTGAGTTTGAGATGGACCAACATACAGAAAAATCAACAGGCGTTTGGAAATTTAGGTCTAAGGATCAGGGCTGAAAATTCGGGAGTCCTTTGCATAAATGCCTAATTGCAGAGGTCATAATTGAAGGTAGGTGAATGAATGAGATCTCTGTGAGGTGATCCCTTCAGCTAGATAAGATCCCTTCAGGCAGCTATGATCTGTCTGAACCTCCACAGCCATTTGCTTATTCATCTTTTATAACCTTTCTCACAATGCACCGTCCCTCATACCTGTTTGTATAGTTGAGTTTCTTACCCTGTCCTTATAAGCTTCCTGAGGTCAGGGACTGTCATTCATTTATAAGCCCCCTTCTGCTCCCAGCCTAGGGTTGTGCAGAATGGCAAACCTCAATAAACGTCGGTGAAAAGAATGCAAGCAAACAGAGGTCAGATTTGCAAATAACTAACTCTAGCCACAGCTCGGCTTGACCTGCCTTGGTTATTTAATTTTGAGGTGGAGTTGCATTCTGACGCTGGAGGCCTTTGCAAACCTAACCGGTTTCTCTTCCCTTTTTTCCTTGGCAATAGGCAGCATGAGATTACAATTGATAAACGGAGAGATAAATTGGTAACACCCACAAACCTACCCCAAGGCTTCATAATTTCTGAAACTGAAAAGATGGACCAATAAGTTTGCTCCCTACCTACCTCTAATGCAAGTACCTTCAAAATCAGAGCATTTCAGCTCCTGGCCCAAAACACAAAGATCTGCCCGTGGCACAGGCTGGCAGAGGTTCCCAACTAGTTTCTTTTCCTCTCCTCAATCCACCCTCCTAGTACCTATTCCTCCTTTCTCCTGTTTTCTTTTACCTGCTGTTGTCCAGGAGGCAGCGCTAGAGACTGACCCCAGTCTCAGCCGCCTGTCAGATGGAACAATAAGATGGAGAGAGGCTGCTTGGCATAGTGGATAGAGAGCCAACCTTGGAGCCAGGAAGACTTGCTGCCCTCCTATGACATATACCGTGTGACCCTGGGCTTTACCCCAGGGCTCCAGAGACCTCCCTAAGACCCTTAAGTCGCAGAAGTGATGCCCACTTTGACAGCGGGAATGTGCTGTGCCCGTGATATCTCAGGTTGAGTCCGCATCCACAAAGAGGATCCACCTTCGCTACTCTACTTTAAAGGCCTGTTTGGTCCCATAGCAGTCATAAAACTAGGACTACAACCCAAGTACACCGCGACGCTCGCAGGTGAAAGCACAGAACGTGTCCGGGGCTCCATCTCCATCCAAGCCTGGGGGCTGCCTTCCTCCACCCAGGCAGCGGTCGGATGACCGCCCAGGGCCCCCGAGCTTGCAGCTTTATCTGGCCGGGGCGGGACCTGCCCGGCGGGAGCGCGGGGGCGGGCTCTCGTCTTCACTTTCTCTTTCCATTTTCCGGCTTCCGCTGCCGCGCTCCTCCAAATTCAGGTAAGGAGAGGGATGTATCCCTGGCATCTCCTTCCCGACCCTCATGCCTCTCCCGCCTTGGCTCTCCAGTCCCCTTCCTGGAGCCCGCTCCTCACCCCTCTCATTGGTTCCACTCCCTCCCTGTCTCTGCTCTCCAGGATCCCTGGTCACCCTCTCCCACTCCTCTGGCTTGCAGTCTCCTTTGGACAGATGATCGGCCTTCTCCCAGATTCCCCAACTTGGGGAAAAGATGAAGCCCAAGGGCAGAGCCAAGCCTGGTCCTGAGGAAGGCAGGGCAGCCCCCTCTCTGCCTGTGAGACAAGCGCTTCCCAAGCAGGGTCCCTTCCCCATTTCCTTCCCCAATGCAGGCCCTGAGCCCTGGTGCACCCCCAGCCAGCTGGCCTCAGAGGCTGGGAGGGCTACGGTCATCCCCATTCCCTCATCCTGCCCTGGATGTTCTGCACAGCCTGGCCCGGGCCCTGCTCTTCCCTGCCTACTGGGCCCTGGACAGGCTTCTGGTCTGTTGTGTGCCCACTCCCCGCACTCCATTCCCCCTTTTTGCTCCCTTCCCAAGGGGGCTGTGTCATTTTCTGGTCACCCTGCTAGGAGCTTTAGCTTCCCTGCTACTGCTGCTAGCAGCTCTACCCCTCCTGCTCCTGGGCCTGCTTTTCTGGTTACCTCTGCAATACTGTCGACGCCCTTTCTGCTACCATCCACCTCCTGCGAACTGGACACCTCCCTCACCCTGGTATCCCCTGTCGGACCCACACCGAAGCTTTGGCTTTCTCAGTGCCAACCTCTGCTTGCTGCCCGATGGTCTTGCCCGGTTCAGCAACCTGCAGCATACTCAGAAGCGGGCAGAGTGGATGGGCACTGCCCTTCTTGGAGGAGCCAAAGGGCCAAGCTATGGGGCCACAGGTTCCAGTCCACCCCGGACTGGTTCCCTGGTGGGGGAGTTGATATCAGCCCTACCGGGTAGCCTGGACTTTGTGTGCCTTCAGGAAACATTCGATGTACGGGCAGAAAGCAGGCTGGCCCAGCACCTGGCAACCACCCTAGGCCCTGTGATATATGATGTGGGAACCACTGGCTTCTATCCAGGGCCTCAGCTCAAACTCCTGGGTAGTGGGCTCTTGCTGGTTTCCCGATACCCCATACTGAGTGCCCGCTTCTTGCCCTTTCCCAATGGCCGGAGGGAGGATGCACTTGCCTCCAAGGGATTACTCTCTGTTCAGGTATGCAGTATTCCTAGGTGCCACTTGGGGGTCAAGGGCAGGGGCCAAAGATTGACCTAGGCCCTGGGAGAGATGGCAATGCCCATGGTGTTACAGGTGCAGCTGGGTATGCTGGACAGGCGGAGGATTGTGGGCTACCTGCACTGTACCCACCTGCATGCCCCTGAGGGTGAGCCAGAACCCAAGGCTAGAATGTCTTTTAGGAGGTCCTCCCTTCCTCTTGCAGCTGCTTGACAAATTAGCACCAACACACATCAGCTGACACAGGGGCTGGCCCTTCTGAGGTGACTGTTATCTGAGTAGCTCTGATCTTAATAACTGTTGTCTAGCCTTTCCCTTAACCCACGTCCCTGCCTCCCCCGCCCCCATCTCGGCCAGAGGGTGGTTTGCTCTTCTTATTCTCCCCCTCTTTCTACCTCTTATAGTTGAGATCCAAGGTCATACCCTCTTTACTTACCCCCCTGTCCTGACAGTTGCCATCCCTCCAAGCCCAGCCCCTCCCGACCAACTGACTGAGTCACATCCTCTGTTGTCCTACGTGGCCTCTCTTCTTTACCCGCCTTCACAGGCTCCCCTTCACACTTTCCTCCATGATTCTTCTGTCCTTCCTACCCCCCACCACCCAGTTTCCAGGCATAGTTTATTTCTCTACCAAGTCTCTACAGGGTTACAGGATCTGGCTGGGGGAGAAGGGGAGGAAAGGACAGCAGGTCCCGTGGCCCATTCCCTGCCTTCCCCAGAGGATTGGGCCATTCGCTGTGAGCAGCTTTCACTCCTGCTGGGCTGGGCGGAGCAGTTTGAAGCACAGAGTGACAAGGATGACGATGCTGTTGCCTTCAGTGTACTTATGGGTGACCTTAATTTTGACAACTGTTCCTCAGGTATGGGGCAAAGGCCAAGGGAGAAAGCGGGAAGGCAGTGAGCCCTCTACCAACCAAGCTATCATTCCTTTTCCTCCCTTCTCTCCTAAAGATGATGCCCAGGAACAAGAGCATGAACTGTTTACCCACTTCACAGATCCCTGTAGGTTGGGGCCAGGTCAGGAGCAGCCTTGGGCCATAGGTAGGAGGAGCCATGGTCTGGATCACCATTCCCTAGCCACCTGGGCAGCAGAATCTTAGGACATGAGACATTCTCCCCTTCCACCAACAAAAATATCCCTGGGCAGGGAACTGGGGTCCCCACACCACCCTTTATCAACTGGAGGAGGCCAAGACATCCCTCTCTTCTGCCCTGGAGCCCCAGGCTTTTCCTTCCTTCCCCTGGACCTGAGGGGACCAAAGGAAAGCAAGGTGTTCTCTGGACCTCATATTCCTCTCTGGCCCCAGGAACCCTGCTGAGTGTCCCAACACTACACTGTCCAGTGGCCTGCTGTCCTGAGAAACTGAGAAGGCAAGTGTTGCTGGGATGGGGTCTGTATGCTGCAGCACCACCTCCTCCCTAATAATAGCAGTCCTTCCCTTCTTTATTCCTCTAGTGCTCTGGAGCAGGAGGATGGGAGATGCATGTACCTTGCAGGTCCTCCCACTGGGACCCTCCCTTCGGCATCCTGGCAGGGAAGAAGAATAGATTATATCTTATATCGGAGAGAGCCTAATACCCTTCTCATCCCAGTAAGTGTCCTAGGAAGTGCAGAGGTAGCAATCTGAGGAACAGAAGTGATAACACTAGATTTTTCACTTATACTGGGAGGCCATAGGCAATTTCCTTCTGGAGAATGGGGGAACTGGACTCCATGACCTCTAAAGTTCCTCCCTCCCAGTTCTGATGGTCTGTGGGAGGAGGGAAGAGAAGAGGAATCTTCCCTCATGTCAAATTCCACCTCACCCCCCCAGGCCGTAGAGCGAGTGACTTTCAGCACAGGCCTGGCTGGCCTCACTGACCATCTGGCTGTAGGGCTACGACTCCGGGTGACCATGGAGCCCAGAACTACGTCAGACCTAGGCAAGGCCAACATACAGAATGATCAACAGACTGAACAATGAAAGCAGCAAACTGTGACCTTGGCTCCTCCCTGGCCCCACCTCTCTGGTATGGGGGCAACTTCAGGGATCTTTATTGTTGCCCCGACAGGGTGCTCACCACCCCACCCCACCCCTCACACACCCTCCTGTGCCTGTCGGTACTCGTAGACACTGCCTCGTTCAGGAAAACAGGTGGAATGGGGTGGGAAGCCAGGGGCCGGGGCTGGCTCTTCAGGGTTCCCATAGCCACCTCCACCAGGCGTCTTCAGGCAGAAGGCATCCTGAAGTGATAGAGAAAGAAAAGCCTGAGCCTAGGGGAGAGAAGATGAACCTTCCTTCCCACCTTTTCCTCCAGTTTTATTCTGGGGGCTCCTTTTTTATTCTCCCCTTTCCTTAATGGAGCCAAATTAAACAATAAACACCAGCAGTCCTGAGGTCTAAGGCTGACTTTGTGGGTGCTTGGGGGTGAGGGTGACGTTTCCCCAGTTCCCTCGGTCCCTAGGTATATTCTCTTTCCTTGGACTACTGAGCAGTCCCCTCAAATTTTCTCTTGAGTCCCTTACCCCAGGGAACACAGTCACAGATGATTTTCCCCCCAGGCTGACAGTCCGACCATCTTTTCGGATTAACAGATTGAGTCCCCGGGCTCCAGGTTCTCCCCCTGAAAAAAACCACAAGAGGGAATTAGGGGAAAGGGAACATCCCAAGGCAGGACCAACTCTTAAAATGACAACAAAATCTTTTGTCACAGCTGGGCTTTGTGTCACTCTGCAAAGTGTGACCTTGGCTCATTCCCAGCCCCTCCCCTGTAGTATGGGAGTGTCACTAATTGTAAGGAATGACCCCAAGTAGAATAAAGCTGTGGAACTTGGGAGGGGGGTGAAGGGAGGAGGTTGGGAGGGAGGGGTCTCACCATGGAGCCCATAGGGCTGGAAGGCTCGGCGCTCAGTCAGGACAGACAACTGGGCTTTTTCTCGGAAAACAAGCTCTCTTACCACACCATCCCCACCTCGGAAGCGGCCCCTTCCCCCCGAGTCCTCCCGTAGCTCAAAGCGACGAAGAATCACAGGGTACCTGGGGGAACAAAGGGACTCAGTCTGTTTCTTCCATCTCCATCTCACCCACCTCCTTGGGGCAGTTGCACATACACTCACCGACTCTCCAGGATCTCAGGGTCAGTGATGCGGGTGTTGGTCATGTGACTGTGAACCCCACTGCGCCCATGCCAGCTTGGTCCTGCTCCTGCACCCCCTGCCACTGTCTCATAGTAGCCCATGTGGGCATTCCCTAGAGTCACATTGTTCATGCAGCCCTGAGGAATGGGGAAAGGAATTTGGTGTGAGGAGACCACGCCAGAGCCACCCACCCCATCCCGTTCCACTCTTCATCCCTGGGCATTCCCCAGACCTGAGAAGCAGCACAGGCCCCAAAAGCAGCCAGTATGACGTCCACTACCCGCTGGGAGGTCAGCACGTTGCCCCCAACCACAGCCGCTTCTGGAGATGGATCCAAGATGGAGCCCAGAGGGATCACCACCTTAACTGGAGCCAGACAGCCCTGGAGGGTTGGGGAGAGGAAGCAGAGGAACTCAATAAGTAGGGAGTGCCCCCCAAACACACCCCTGGGTCAGAAGAATCACACACACACACACACACCCCCATTCAGAGGATGTCACACACTCAGGTCACCCACCTGATTCAGAGGGATGTCTTGGCCCACCAGACAGCGCAAGCAGTAGATGAGAGCTGACAGTGTGATGGCTCGGGGAGCATTTAGGTTGCCAAACACTTCTGGGCCTGTGCCACTAAAGTCAAAGATGGCGCTGCCCTGGGGTCAGAGGACTTCGTGTCATATAATACCCTTACTAGAACAGAACACAACCAGCCCTAGCCAACACAAACCCCCACTTCTAGGCTGAGCCCACACACCTGCACCTGACCTCTCTCTCAACATTGGTCCTACCTGTACTGGGTTGATCTTCACTAGAAGGCGAATGGGAGAGCCATCATCCATATGATCCTCTGCGCTCACCTCCAGCGGCAGCCCTTCTGCCTGCCGGGCTCCCCCAAAGTTCCGGAGCATCTCTCGAACAGCCAGCTCCGCATTAGCCTAGTGAAAAAGACATCATTCAGAGACCACCCTATGCTTCCCCACTGATTCCTACAAAGACTTAGCCAGCACCTGGCAGATTCTGTGACCCAGCTTCTGCTTGGGTTCTTCTTCCTCCTCCCCTCTTCCAGCTTTATAGATCTTAGCATCACCACCTCTACCTTCTCTCCCAAGTCCCAGGGCCCAGGCACTCTGCAGGTGCTCAGGAAAGGTCTGTTGAATGAATGTAAATGAACGACACTGGAGTAGGTCTCCCTCACAGCACATGCCTCAAGTCCTGCTCTCACCTGGATGTGGGCCATGTAGGCCTGTACAACATCTAGTCCATATTGGCCAATCAGCTCCCCTACCAGCTGGATCCCCTTCTGATTGGCTGCCACCTGGGCCCGGAGGTCAGACAGGTTGTCATGGAGATTTCGGGTACCACTGCAGCCAGGAACCTTTCCTGGAGCCTTTAGGACTTCTGTCACAGCTGGGGGTGGGGGTTGGGGGGAACAGAGAGGAGGGAAACAAGCATGGGGATCACTGGCTGATCTCTCTCATTCCCTTTTCTCTAGTACCCCACCTTCTCTAGACAATATACCTAAGTTCCCTTCCCAAGAAAATACTGACTAGTGTTCTCCAAGTGATCCTTGGACCCCCCCACCTTCCTGGAGGGCACCACCTCACCACCCCCACCCCCTCCTCACCCTCCTCCTGGAAGATGCCCTTGTGAACCAGCTTGAAGGACAAAAAGACGGCCCCCTCTTGTTGTAGTGCTGTGGAATGGGGCGGCATGGAGCCTGGCGTGATGCCTCCTATATCAGCATGATGCCCTCGGCTTGCCACATAGAACACAGGGCGGGGCTGACCGGGCCAGAACACCTGGAAGTGGGGAGGAGGCAGGATCACAGAACCAGACCTCAAGGGCCATCACATCCAACCTCTCATTTTATAGATGAAGACTCTGAGGCCCAGAAGTTAAGTGACTTGCCCGAAGTGACACAAATATTAGTGGCAGACCATGGATCTTCCAGGGCAGCCTGGGTCTTCCCAAGGGGCAGGCATCCACCCCACCCCATGGTGATGACCCTGATGTGTCTCCCCTCATCTACGCCTCCCCCCACAGCAACCTCCCCTCTCACCGGAGTGATGACTGTGAGATCTGGCAGGTGGCTGCCTCCTGCTTTTGGGTGGTTGCTCAGAATTACATCCCCAGGCTGTAGATCCTCACCCAGATGGTTGATCTGTAAGCAGGCACAGGGCATAGGGAGAAGGGTCAGTGAGGGATAGAGCTGATGGGATTTCATAGTCATGGGGGAGGGCCAGAGAAAGGGTAGCTGAGACAAGTAGGCTATATAGTCCCTGTGTCTGTCACAGGGATGGGAGACTAGGGAAGAGAATGGAGTCTGATCAGACCTGAAACTGCACGGTTTCTTGCATGGCACCAAGATGCACAGGGATGTGGGGTGCATTGGACACCAGGCCCCCATCATCAGGCCCAAAGAGAGCACAGGAAAAGTCCAGTCGTTCTTTGATGTTCGTGGAGATGGCCGTGCGCTGCAGGATGCGCCCCATCTGCTCTGGAAGGGGAGGCAGAGTTATTTGCACTGTCTGAGCCCCTACTATCTTTCCTCATTCCAACCCCATCACAAAATAAACCCTCATCAGAAGGCATCTAGTTTGACCTTCACCTAGAGTGGGAATTCCCTGGATAGTAGTCCAGACAGGGTCATCCTGCCTTTACTTAAATATGTTATAACTCGTTTCTTCCCAAACTAGCTATTGTGATAGTTCTAATGGTCAAGTTTTTCCTCATTTCCTCCTGCTGAGCAAACATCTCCTTATCTATAGCTTTGTCCCCTCCCCCCCCCACACACACCCTCCTTCCCCTGCTCCTAATTCTGCCTCCTGAGGCCAAGAACAAGCCTAATCCCTCTTGGGTATCTGACAACACTTTTTAATGTCCTAAAAATAAAACAAAGGAAAGCCCTTACTTAGGAGTGGAAATCACGTGCTCCAGCTTCTATGGGCTCAATGTCTGCATAACATCATGCCTGTGTGCGCCAGTGAATGGGGATAAATTCAGAGGTGGGTGCACATGCGCACTGCCCTGGTACATAGTTTCCTCTAGTCGCAACCCCAGGTGAGGCCACAACTGGGTGGGTTTTATGGCCCTGGCAAAGAAACAATGCCAGGATGTTCCTGGCACAAAAAGGGCACTAAATCATCGTTCAGTCAGGGTCAAATAACTGGAAACGCAGTCACGGAGCCAGACAGATGTGATAAACAGCACCCCTGGCAGAAGCAGGGTAAGAGCCAAGAGCCAAACCAAAGGCCTGAAAGAGGGAGCAAGAGATGAGGTCCAACATTTGGCTATGTAGTAGCTTGACGTGCCAGACTTAACAAAGAGTTTTCTCAACTTGCTGCCAGCAGAGGGGCTAATCTGGGCCTTGGGGCTCGGGTAATGACATATTGCCAACTAAAGGTCCATCAGTTCTGGAGGATGAACATCGCAAGTGGGCATCAGCTGAAGGACCACATCCTTTCAACTCCATCAAGTAGTAGAAACCACCCCTGTGCTAGCTGTCTATCACCACTAAAGGGAGCAGTCATGAATCCAGCAGCTCTGGATGTCTGGGCCCAGAGTATGGAGCATAGCAAGAACCACTGAAACAATGAGGTAAAAACATATGGAGGCAGGAAATGATAGGCAGTTCACCTGCTCCAATGGATCTGTGATTTCATAGATGGGATCCTCCCCCCAACAATGACACTGCCCCCATCCTGTGAAACTCACGTCTATGTACTCCTGTAAATATGCCGCAGAGGGTTCACCCAACCTGGTGTAGGCATTCCTTTTCATGCTGTACAGATATCAGCAAAGAACATGAACTGTTCATTGGTTACCTCTCCCTAGATTAATAGGCCTTTTTTACCTCCATCACACAT